GCAGGAGCTGAAGCCTGGCTGCGAAGGTGAGCTAGGATCTCAGTGACCCCTGCCTCAAGCTGAGACACCTTCTGGTCTATTACTTCGCGCCAGGAGTTGTCTGCTGAAGGGTCCATTATTTGGTCAGATTATTCTGTAACGGGGACTGAAAGTTGGACCCAATATTCAGCAGACAACAGAATGTTTCAACACAGGTTTATTTCAAAAATAACTGAAAGAGGACGATGGAAACTCCTCAGAGCGGGTTCTCTGATTCTCTGCTGGTTGAGAGTTCAGTTCGAAGCTCAGAGAGGAGAAACCCAGGGGGAGAAAGTCCACCGCTTGCGGTCGTTACCGCTTCAAAGAACAGTGCGTGGGGGAGCCGGCGCCAGCCAACGGCAAGCGAGCTGAAGTGTCCGTGAGGGATTATGCGAAGCCGATATCCAGTCCAGAGCAGTGTCAGAAACCTTGAGATCCGAGAGCCGAAGAGGTATCCAGGGAAAATCCAAGCCGAGGTCAGAAAAACAGTCCAAGTTCGATTACAGGCTAAATCCAGGCAGTCAGGCCAAAAACCAAACTAAGCAGGGCAGACAGGGAGAAAGGCAAAAACCAAAAACATATGGGCAAAAAACTTCCACTGAACAAAACACTTACTTGATAGCTGAGTAACTCACACAGAGACAGGTTGAATAATCTGACACTGATGGCAGGAAAGCAAACAGCCTAAATAGCTGCAGGGACCAGGTGGATCAGATTGGCAGTAATCAGCCACAGGGCCAATTAGGCAGGTGAGCAGGAGCAGAGGAAAAAACCCAACCATCAGTGCCAGGATTATGACAAATAGTGATATATTTCTCAAGTTATTTCTATTTTATTTGTGTTTAAATGTCTTATTTTATTTGTGTTGTTAGTTGTCTAAAAATGGCATACATAAAAAATAATGAGCCGTTCAAACGGAATCAATAAGTGCAGCAGTGGACCGACCCTATAAAGCTGAGGGTCCGTTTCATGAAGCAGGTTTAACAAACTCAGATTAATCCTCCACTCTAAATTGATCTAGCCTAAGGTGTTTTCGGTTTCACAACAGCTGCCATGAATTAGTTCAATCAACTCTAAGTAGGTACACTCAGAGTTTAGTGCGTCTGTGACAAGTTTAATAAGCCATCATCAGTGGAGCCCTGAATCAATTAGTCACCATGACAATAAGTCAATGGAGATCTGCATATTTCATGTCAGTAGAACTGTAAGTTTTAATGCAGGCATACTGCGAGTTTTAGCCCATTTTGAAAAGAAAGAGCAGCACGTCCACAGCTGTAAAGCAGGAGGAGATGGTATTGGAGAAAATTGCTGTCTGAGTTAATGCGTAAGTTTATATGAGGTCATAATCATTATAACATCCCAGGGAAAACTACTTTACTGCCTTAAGGGTACTTTATCAATGTATTCTATTTAGGTGTTGTCCCACCAGGATGAAGTGCACCTGGTAGCAGGTGAAAATGGAATACAAAAATGTAGTTCAAACAGGTAGGAGCTGTACATCATCTCATGGGGTTCCTCCTCGCTTTAAATCTGTGTTAACTTACATAGTAAATACTAAATGGATATTTGACTATGCTTTTTTTATTTCCCTTTTTTCATCACACACTTTGTGCTCTCACTGATATTGAGTTCTGCTAAGGAATGGAAATTATCAAAACTAACAGACCTCTTCCCAACCAACACAAATAAGGCCGATGTCTGTAAAACGGGTGGTGGTCCACCAGGAAGGCCAGCTGAGGGAATCCCTGGTGGCTCCTGTAATCTATTGTCCCAATGTCAAAGCTACAATTGTGACCTCTGACTGTTTTTGACTTTTCTGTGTCTATTGGCTGTGATTTTTAGAAATGGACACAGACTCTTTTGTCTCCGATGGTTCAAAGGACAACAATTCAAATAATTAGAGCAGACCTTAATACATCTACGTGATTTGATGTATTTAGCAAATCAACTTTTTAATCAAAATCAGTTACCTTAGCATTGTCTGTGGCTATGAGGACAAACATTATATAAGCTGGAAAAAATCATTTTGTTTACTTGTATTTATATTTTGTAAGAATGGGGCATATTAGAAAAACATGTTTGCACTTTTAGAGTGAGATTTTATTAATCTTCTCAGTCATTTGGGCAATAAGTTATTAGGGGTTTGTTGTCATGTATAAATATAAGTACTTCTTCTTTCAAAAGACACTTTTTAAGACACTGTTTAAGATTAAACATTAAATTCTAGATTAGACAAATATTTTTTTACTCTTACTGTTGCTTAAAATTCATAATGTTAATACTGAAAAACAGAATGTTAAAGTATAGAGAATGTGGATCTATGTGTATCTGTGTCAGTTACTAATTTAATAGGATGAAATATCTTGATAAATGAATTAACCATATTCTAAACATTCGGCCTCGGTCATGGTCTCGGTAGGTTCTGGTCTTGACGAATTTATCTTGACTCAATTCCGGTTTGTAAACATTAACTTACCAAGTTTCCAAGCGATACTGCTTCTTTTCTGGTCTTCTGCTTTCGGTTTTGTACTTTCTATTTTTGCAAATTTTAATTATTTTCTCTCCTTCACATTTGTCTCTTTCTCTACCTTCATCTCATCTCCCTTTCTAAGCTCCTTTTCTGTCTCTGCATCCATTGCATATACTGTATATATTATTCTTTTTTTCCCAAAGCCACTAAAAGTTTCTATTAAAATTACCAAGGCAAACCTTATGCTAACCGCCATGATGGAATGAATGTAAAAGCAAATATCTAGGCTATTATCCAGCATATGGACATTAAGAAGCTATGAGAAATAGTGTTGTGTGATCATATGATGAATAAAACGAGTTCCTCAAAATACACCAAATAATAGGAGAAGATTCACTAAATCCACAAAATGTAGTTAAAAGCCTTCAGCTGATCCAAAATGCTGCAGCCAGAGTTCTGATGAAAATGAAAAAGAGAGATCATATCTCTCCTATCCTGGCTTCTCTTCATTGGCTTCCTGTTAAATCCAGAATAGAATTTAAAATCCTCCTCACATATAAAGCCTTAAATGGCCAAGCTCCATCTGATATCAGAGATCTGATTGTTCCTTATGTTCCTAACAGAGCACTTCGCTCTCAATCTGCAGGTTCACTTGTGGTTCCCCTTCATCCATAACAGATGTCTGCCCATACCATAACACCACTGCCACACTTGGCCTGCTCATTTACACAGCACACGCGTTCTCTGCCTTCTGCCATGAACAGTGTAAACTAGGACTCACCTGTTAAGAGAACACCTCTCCAAAGTGCAGGATGCCTGCGAATGTGAGCATTTGCCCACTCAAGTCGGTTACAACGACAAATTGTAGTTAGGTAGAGACCCCGATGAGGGTAACGAGCATGCAGATGAGCTTTCCAGAGACGGTTTCTGACCATTTGTTGGCAAATTCTTTGGTTGTGTAAACTGATTGTTTCAGCAGCCGTCTGATTGGCTGGTCTCAGACGATCTTGGAGATGAACATGCTGGCTGTGGAGGACCTGAACTACTGTGGTTACACGTGGTCCACGGTTATGAGGCTGGTTGGATGTAGTGCCAAATTCTCTGAGATGCCTTTGAGACGACTTATGGTGGAAAAATGAACATTCAATACACGAGTAACATCTCTGACGGACATTTCTGCTGTCAGCATGTCGATAGCATGCTCCCTCAAATCTTGTGACAACTTTGACATTGTTCTGTGATAAAACTGCACCCTTCAGAATGGCCTTTTATTGTGGGCAGTCTAAGACACACCTGTGCACTAATCATGGTGTCTAATCAGCATCCTGATATGGCAGTCCTGTGAGGAGAAGTGATTTATTATCACAGATTTAGTGCCAGGGTTCTGCTCACTGTATTTCTTTAGTTACTCTCTGTTGCCCCCTTGTGTCTGTTCCTCCCCCCTTGTTCCATCCTAGTCGTCCTATTCACACCTGATTGTCCTCCACATTTGATTGTATGATCTGGTTGCATTTTCTCAGTACAGTGCCCTGAGATAGCATCACTTTTTAAATGGTATTATACAGATACACTGAATGAATTGCATTGAACATTCGATGGACATTGTTGACATCTAAAGAAACCTTTACTGCTGAACATCCAGCTGTAAAAAGCTCCAAGAGGACGACTGAAATCTACAGAAACGTCACAGATATTTAGACTTCTTTATTTGTCATTTTGTATGCACAGGGTGCATACAGAACGAAATTGCGTTACATACAGCTTATGAACGTTGCATTGATATTTCAAATGGCACGAGTTATAGAAATAACACACAAGATCATGTAAAAATGGCTCATATTGAACCATTACAGTTTCTTCAAACTTTGGATATAACTGAGGAACTGAAAAAAAGTGACTGGAGTTTGGTCAGATATTATTACAGGAAATGCGTCTCCAGCCATAAGCTATTGGAGGAAAGAGTCCTGATGGGAAACTTGGATCCACACATAGCTGCACTGACAGCTGCTGGACCCGACCCATTTGAAATGTTCTGAGCTCCCATGCAGGCCCCTGCATCCATCATTTGGGCTGAGGACTCAGCCTTGCCTGGATCCTGCTTCAGTCAGGTGTCCTGATGGGTCCCTCTGCTCTACTGCTTCATAATCTGCTCCTAGAGATGTTTTCCATCCATACAGTCGTCCAGAACAAAGCTCCATCTTCTGTTAATAGCAGGTAGAAAACCAAGTAAAGCCTTTCTCTCCTGTCAGCTAACAGTTAGCCATGTCTCCTTAGTTTCTCCTCTAAGCTCAGAGTTTACAACCGATCTGTCAGCAAGAAATCCTCTTAGTGCATCTTTTATCTTCCAGGATCCAGTTAGGAAAAAAAAGAAAGCAGCCACTTCTCCCTGTTGATCTTTCTAATTCAATCTGGATTAATTGTAAAATACAAATAAATAAAAACTCTTTTAATAAAGAATATTAAAAGTTCTTTTTCAATTCCTTCTCCATGTTAAATAAAGATCTACCAGAAGCAGAGAAGCTGTGAGTCTGTTCAGCAGGAGGAAGAGGAGCTGAGAGCTTCAGGGAGGAGCTGAGCTGTTACTGAACTATAGAAGAGACACAAACTTCCACATTCAACACAGTTCAAACATTAACTCTGATCATCATGGACTATTATGGACTTTCTCTGCTGGTCGCCTCACTGCTAACAGGTCAGATTCTACATGTTTCAAATGTTTTTGTTCTGAAATGTCAGAAATGTTTCTGAATCAAAAACTAAATCTCCTTTTTCTTCAGGAATCCGCTGTGAAGGACTGACTGCGGTTAAAACAGAGATCTCCAGCTTAGAGGGCAGCTCTGTCACTCTGTCCTATAATTATCCCAACCTGCAACCAGGAGATTATTTCTTCTGGTACCGTCAGTATCCAGGAGAACCTCCAGAGCTTCTGATCTCTCACTCTGCTTCAGGAGATGAAGGAATTAAAAATATTCCTGAACTGAAGATTGAAGTAAACAAAACCCAGATGGACCTGCTGATCTCCTCTGCTGAGCTGACAGACTCTGCTGTGTACTACTGTGCTGTGAGGCCCACAGTGACAGGAAACACCAGATCTCTGTACAAGAACCTGCAATACTCTACAGCATCCACTAGAGGGCCTCACACACTCATTGAGAAGATTTCTAAGAGCAGATACAATATATATGAGATTAGATTAGATTGAACTTTATTGTCATTGCACAGGTACAGGTACGAGGCAACGAAATGCAGTTTAGGTCTAACCAGAAGTGCAACAGCAGCAGTGCAGGATAAATAATGGTTCCATAAATACAGGACATGGGTTCTACTGAATGAGTATAGAGATGAATACCATTATAAATAATGAATATAAAATATAGATCACTGGTGTTATGAACTAAATTTACAGCTGGATATGTACCGAATATAATATACAGGTGGATATTACTATAAAAAGGGTTTTTACAGTTATGTACAATAGCATATATACAGATGGGTTTTACTATAAAATGAATAAATAGTTTGGACAGAAGCTATCTAAATTAAAGTGCAGTGGAAGGTAATTACATATTACAGTTAAAGTACGTTATTGCAGATGTAAATGTAAACAATTGGTGCTGTGAATGAACTGTCAGCAGTGCAAATATAAGCAATCAGCAGTGCATATCAATATTCAGAGTAGTGCAAGATGCCTATAAAGAGTTGTTACTATAGTAACAGTCAAGAGTGCAGGTGAACAATACAGTCTTGTAAAAAAACAGAATAGCAAAATGGTGGTAGGTGTGAGGAAGGAGAGTAGAGTCTATCGGTGAAGGTTAGAGTTCAGTAAAGTGACCGCTCTGGGGAAAAAGCTGTTCTTTAGTCTATTTCCCCACAGCTGTCTGATGATGCATCCCAAGTTCCACAAACTCATTTCAGGCCAAAGACATAATACTTAAAATAAATTCTAATGATAACATGCGCTGGAACAGAAACGGTTAATGATAGGTCCTTTGGATCTATGTCATTCTTTTTCTTTACTAATTCTGTTTTTCTAATTATTCAAACACAATAAGGTGATAGCGATAGGATCCCAGTTTTCATATGCTAAATGTTTTTTTTTTCATAACAAATACAAAAAAACTGCTCTAATTGTTACAGTTGAATTTATCAGTTTTCCTTGATTTCTAACTCTGAAAAAAGTTATTTTAACTTAAAACAAGTGAAAAAATATGTAAAGTTCCTAAATTATAAGTGTATATTGACCTCATAAGAAACAACATTTTTATTGAACTTAATTGAACAGAAATTTCCCTTCATGCAGTTCTCTTAATATATTTGAATCCCTTGCCCTGTTTTTTATTTCATAAATTTCTGGGCCCCCATGAAAACACACTGGCCCCCTCCTGGCCCCCTGGTACATTCACCACTGTTCCTCCCCTTCACTAGACGTGGATATACTTTAGTATATTCTGCTGTAAAGTTAGTCCTATATTTTGGTTTTTTACTCAAGTATTGAACCTCTGCCGTTTCCCAGGATGCACAGCTTTGAGTGGTAACTAGGTGACTGCCAGAGAGAAACCAGAGAAACGTATGGGACTGATCCAATCAGCTCTCTGATCAACCAGCCACCTGGAACGCTGGATGATCAGAGCATCGCTTTGGACAGATACGCTGCACAGGTTTCACCAGCAACCTCCTCCTCACACCCCGCGCTCTCTTGTTGTCTGAGCAATCAGTGTAGTTCTAATCCGCACATGAGTGTAAAATCTGGGATAATTTATCCGACTTCGGGCATCCGTGAACAACTATATCAGGGACACTCCCGGAACTTCCAGGAGACTTGGGATGTCTGCAATCTCATTTTGAGGATCTAAAACAAAACGATTAGATCCATGACCCCTGGCTCACACCGACTCCGGTCTTACCGTTGCGGTGCGGTGGGTGCTGCGCCGCAGTGATTCCAAGTCATTAAAAAGACGTAAACCTCTCTCACCGGCTGCTGAGCTGTCCGGCTGCGGTTACCGAGACACTCCGGCGCTGCAGAAAATTCCGCAAGAAAGCTGGAGCCCTCCGCAACAAGCTCTCGCGAATATCCTTATTTGGGCCGTGTTATCGCGTGAAGTTACGTGAACTCAAGTGAACTTCTGTTCTCGCGAGTTAAATCTCCGGACCTGTTGCCGGAGCCGCAGAGCCGCACCGCACCGTAGTCAAAAGGGCGGTGTGAGAGGGGGTGTGCGGGAGTTGCGGTCTCCGTCGGCTCGGTAACCGCACTGGAGCCAGTGTGAGTGTTGCGGCCTGCACACTGAAAACAGTTTGAAAGAATGAAAGAAGCTCAGACACGATGCTTCCATTCAGGCAGACACAGCAGGAATTTATTTACAACCCAAAAGTATTTTTCAAAACTTAAATTCAGCTTAAATTCTCTGTCAAAATAAATTTACAATAAAATAAACAAATATGAATGTCGGTATAAAACAGTTCCTTTTTTGCATTTCCATATTTCTTTGCTGTTTCTTATTTTTTTTCCATCACAACAACTGAAAATATAAAAGCCCAAATGCTAATTTTCAGTGGAATTTACTTTTACAATCAACTGTAGCAGACTCACAAAGTTTTTAACCTCTTCTTAACTTAGATAAATGTTCTGAATACACAAATAAAGGTTTTTTAACCTCTTCTTAACTTAAATGAATGCTCTGAACACACACACACACAGACTGTAAAGCGTCAACACTAATCTCTTAGTGCTACGTCATCACAGGCTAATCTAACTAGCTTAAAACAGTGCTAACTAGCTTAAAACAGTATCTCAAGTCACGTTCATCAATAGTAAATTATTTACTCAAAACCATTTAACTTCAAGATGGAAAACTGACCAAACACAACAGCAAACATTTTTAAAGGTAAACAAATAAGAATATTCAGTTATTACCTGAAAACAGTTTGAAAGAATGAAAGAAGCTCAGACACGATACTTCCATTCAGGCAGACACAGCAGGAATGAGACATCGTGGCTAATAGCTCCCCCTTCAGTTCTAAGAAGGCATGACTAATCAATCACAGGATCATCTCTCAGCGAGATTTAGCCCGTAGAACACAGATCAGAAAAACATATTTATCAGATTCAATTGTTCAATGTGTCACACACTCCCCTGCAAAACTAGATGTCGTCCCGACATCAACATCAATAAACTACAACCTCAAGAACACCAAGCGCGTACATTAAGTAGTCTTTCTCAGTACCAGCAAGATGACATCTAGCTTTTCAGAGTTTTATGCTACAATCTAATATCCTTGCATAAACATTGGTTGATGTACTTGAAAAGGATACATCTACCTCACTAGTTGAAAGTCTTTATAAGGAGTGGGTTGGTATTGATACAAAAGTTCATTTGCCTGCACTGTGCTGTAGCATGACGGAGTCCCGAGCTGATCATAGGTGAAGATCCTAGGAGCCCGTCTCTCTCTTTTCGGCATATCACCAAGCTGTTTTTCTTGGCTCTTTGTCTGGGAGTCATAGGATTCTCGGATGTTACTGTGCATTTCCTCAGCCAATTGCAGATCCTCAACATGATGGTCAGTCTCAATCAGCACATTTTCTTCTTGTGTTTCAGCTTCATCTGTGTTGGTCACCCCTTCATCAGAATCTTTGTCCTCCTCGTCCCCATTTGGTGCTTCCTGGTTCGTTTTTGTTTGGATATATTCATTATCCATATCTTGTGTGGGTTCTTGGTACTGCATTACTGGAGTGTAATCATATGCACATTCATCGTCATCGTCCTCTCCTTCTTGAGAGATGTCTGTGACTGTATTTGTCTTTTTTTTCTTTATTGTTATTTTCTGTTGAGTATCAAGAGGCAGGAAATCACATGGCATTAACAAGTTTCTATGTAGAATTCTTGATCTTCCTCTTCCCTGCTCTGGTTTGACTTCATATACTGGGATATCTTCTCCAATCTGACGCATGACAACATGGATATGTTCCTCCCAATGATTGCGAAGTTTTCCGGGGCCTCCTCTTGGTGTCAGATTTCTAATTAGTACACGATCACTAGGATACAATACTGAACTGTTCACTTTTGCATCATAATGTCTTTTACTCCGATCTGTGGATTTTTTTGCATTTGCTTGGACGAGTGCATAGGCTTCTTGCATTTCTGTTTTCCATCGTTCCATATAAGCAAGATGATCTGTGTTTTCTGCGTCTGAGCTGAGTCCAAAGAGCAGGTCGATGGGTAACCTTGGGGATCTTCCAAATAAAAGGTAAAATGGTGAGAATCCAGTTACCTCTGACTTTGTACAGTTGTAAGCGAAGATGAGTTTGTTTAAGGATTCTTTCCAATTTGTCTTCTCTTTATCAGTCAGTGTCTTTAACATTTGTAGTAATGTCCTGTTAAATCGCTCAACTTGCCCATTTCCTTGTGGGTGGTAAGGAGTTGTTCGTGATCCCAACACACCACAATTCTTTTTCAACTGAGAGAAAAGCCGGTTCTGAAATTCACCACCTTGATCATGATGAATTCTTGCGGGCAGCCCAAACTTCAGAGCAAAGTCATTAAATATTCGATCTGCAACTACTTTGGCAGACTTGGAGGTAGTTGGATATGCCTGGGCAAAACGAGTGAAATGGTCCACAACAACCAATATATATTCATACCCACCACTGCATTTGTCCAGATGCAGGAAATCGATTGACACTAGTTCAAATGGCTGTGTGGTAATGATATTGGTTAGAGGTGCACGCGTTTCTTTATGTGGCTTCTTCTGTTTAAGGCAGGTGCAAGTCCGTGCAACATAATGTTCAATCTCACGCTGCATATAAGGCCAATAGAATCTTTCCCGGATCAGTGTAGTTGTCCGATCAGTGCCTTGATGGCCCATCTCATCATGCAACTCTTTTAGCACTGTAGCTTTGTACACTTCAGGCAATACTAATTGCTTTTTGCTTGTTGTCTTTCTGGTAAGGACCCCATGTTCATCAATATGTAGCCTTTCCCACTCGCGCAACAAGCATTTGCTCTGAACACTTAGTGTTGACATGTCCTGCAATGATGGTTTAAGATCGTTTGCCTTGTACTGCATAATGGGACCAATGTCTTTGTCGTTTTTCTGTGCCTGGGATATTTCACCAGCTGACAGTTTTTTTTTCATCAATTCAGTTTCTGAATCCCATCCAGGAGATGTTAGCGCTGCACATAAGTGATATGAGATGGGATACTTGGCCTCAGTTTGTGTCACAGCAGC